GGGAAGGGGAAGGGGAAGGGGAAAGGGAAAGGGAAGGGGAAGGGAGGGACTAGGAGACAATGCGAACTTCTCACAAGAATCTTTCAGGTAGAGATTAATGTATCTGAACAAGTAACTTTTTAAAAATATGCTATGGAAAGATGAATAATTCTCAGGAAACACATTTCCTTTCGCACCATCTTTCTCACATTGTCAGATATTCTAGAACGTTCATTTGATTTTCCATCAGAAGTTTAGGAAAGCTTTACAAGAATCAATGAGTGTAACTACACCTTTCTTTAAGCACTTGAAAACACCGACTAAACAGGCATACATATCACCTAGTCAGGACTTTTTTTCACCTGATGAAATGAGTTTTATTTCTATTTAAATTATTTTAGCATATGCTAATACATATGCATATGCAAATTTCACACAAAAAAGTCAGGCATTGCTTTGCTTATTTTTTGAGAAACATCAGCATTGATAACAGCAATCTATGTTAAGTACCCACCACTTACTTAAATTGTAAATATTTGCCAAGGGTTGTGCTTGGCTAAACTAAGCATCAACATTCTGAACAAATCTTACTGAGAGATTCAAATTGGCCAAGGGGGCAAATAGTGTGGCCTACAAGCCAATTATCGCTTGCCAGCATCCCCCTTTCCTGTCCCCAGATCACCAAGAAGTGATAGTAAGAGGTAGAGCCCCCTTAAAAAATATTCTTTTCCATTTGAGGGATTTTAAGGGGGAAAAAAATAAAAATAAAAATAAAAATCTCCCCCCCCCCAGCTGACCTTTGGAGTACAGTCCTTGATGTGTCCTGAAACCAATGGAAATTGTGCATGCCTGAAATAAGGGGAAGGTATCAAGGATTCCCTACGGTTGGTTCAGTTTCATTTGGCAAAAATTAACCGCTATTCTTGACTAAATCAAGTGGCCAAAATTATCTGTGTCCCAAAGAATCAATGATGCTGTACCTCTGCAGTGTAAATTACTCTTCCTTTAATTCTGATAAGGAGCAAGCAATAGCGATTAGCTACCATAATAACAAAGCAATTAACTGAAGTTTCATAAAGAAGCTTGTGTTTTTTTCTGTTTTTTTTTGTTGTTGTTTCCTTACCTTGGTTGCATATTTTCCCAGTGTATCCTGGATGACATTTGCATTTGTTTGGACCAACACATTCTCCATGCTTACATCCAGGCTGACAAACAGCTGTGAATACCCAAAAGGAAGAGTATTATTCTTCTTGTCTAATTAAAATGCAGACAGGATTAAATTGATTTCGTGGCCTTTGCTGCTGTTGTGTTTCGTTACATGCTTTTATTGTTTTTAACTGTCTACTGCTTTGAGAAGGAAAAAACAGAATAGAAAGGTCTTCATTAATTGTTATAAATATATATTCAACATAACAGCCTTTATGGTGTGAGTTAGAGGAGCAAAGTAGTACAGCTTCCCAGTACGGTATGTTTCTACTACAAAACTCCACCACCAGACACGTTTTCCCAAACAAGAAAACATAAAACTAAGTTATTTAAAAAACAAAAAAGCATAAACAAAACTTTTGCCTCTTGCCACAAAACGGTGGCAGATTTCCTTGGTATAGGTATTTAATGTTGAAATCGTAGCTATATTTAGCTATGTAAAGAAATAAAAAAAGATAACAGGTACATGCCCATAATCAAGAGTGTCTTCAGAATTTGGACTCTTGGGGCGGGGGGGCAGGGACTGCTTCCAGGAAAATTACTATAAGGTTGCAGCCTATAATGCATGACTACAGTAATCCTTCAGCCATGGCGAATAAAAAGAAATGAAGGCAGAAACTGTAAGGACAATGCCTTTAATTAAATGCCAAGTAATCTTATTCTTCAACAATGCTTTGTTAGGGTCACATTCTACAAGATGGCAAGTTCTGTCAAAGATATCCCAATATATGAGATACAGACAACAGAGAAAATGAGAATGCCATGGACTGACAATGAATATCTAAATATTCTGTAAATATGACTGTATGAAGAATCATAGATTCAGATTAAAGGACTACTGTATTGGGAGAGCAATTTAAAACAAAGACTGAGCTCTGAAAACTGAATGTTCTTTCTAATTATGGAGATACCTGACAATCTTTGGTGACTAACCAGAAATACTAATACAACTAATAATAATTTATTTTACTGATCAAATTTTAAATGGAATTCATGACCTAATAAAAAGATATTCTTTATTCCAGATAAATTTGTTACCCCAAAATTACAATGGCTGGAAATGCACATTTCCAGGTTGTTAATATGCTTTCAGAAATGTTTACTATAGGCAGCTGGTTTTTAATCTTTAACAGCTCAATATGCAATATATTCCTCTATCATCTTGGAATGACAGTGACAAATGCAGGGAAAGTAATATTCTGTCTGTTTTAAATATAGCAGGCACTAGAATTCCAGGGAGATTTCCAACTAGTTAAATCACGATGACTTTAGATTAGAATTGTGTATGAACCAGTCACTGCAAATGATGCACTGCTTCAAATTCTGAAAGTGTTATTTCATTGCACTCATGGAGAAAAAAACCTCCAATGCCCAGAAGTTAAGCTACTTGAATTTCTCATATAATAGTACATCAATACTGTAAATCAAGATAATATATGACAAACATTCCTTAGTATAGTACATAATATTGGAATGCCTCCAGAAAATTCAGTAGTTACTCAGACAGTAAAGTCTGAAGCAGATTCTCAAATAGTATGGCAAGCAAACAAGTTGCCACAAGGGAAGTTGACACTGATTTGGAAACAAAGCCACCTATAATTTTGGCCCAAGAATTGGGAATCTCCAGATAACTTTGAGCCTGATTTTCTCTTGAACTGTCTGGGCAAGGACATCAGCCCTGAACCTTAATAAAAACATTCTAGAATTCCTTGCACTATCTTCTGCAACAACTAAAAGATGGGGAGAAATCTCAAAAGTATCAATGTAGCCCATAAAGGAACAATATCATCCCTGAAAAAAATCTTCATCTCAACTTCTTTATTAAATGTCAATGTAATTTGTTAAAGAAGAATTATTATAAAAGCACCCTATACATTTTGAAGGGTAGCAAATGGTATTCCATTCAAATGCAGTCTCTTGGCCCAGAAAATATTGGGCATTTCTCTCCTGCATTCAGTCCAAATGGCAGCCTATGTAGTAGCAACTAATCCTATGCATAATTGTATGCTTGTAAGCTATATTCCAATATTCAGTTAGATGTATAAAAGGACAACAGATAGTATAAAGAACCCAACAGAGAAATATAACCCAGATATCAAATCTGTTGGACACATTAATGTGAAGGCAGAAACAAACTTGTTGAAAAGAAGTAGGTCTTTAATGAGGTAAATGCCTGGATAGGAGTTTGCTTGGGAACTCTTAAAAAGCTATCTTAATCAGGAATATTCTGAATCACTGTCACTTAATTCTAGTAGAGTTAGTAAACAAGTTTCAGATTCCACTGCAGAGGGTGCTATCTTGAGTTAGGAATATATACCTGCATTATATAAGTCAATCCACAGTGCATCTAGATTAATTTTATGTATACCAGGCTTTCTCACCATGGCTCTTTCTAGATGTGTTGGGACTGCAACTCCTAGAATTTCAATCCTAACAGATCTGGAAAGCAACTGGTTGAGCATGGCTATTGAATGCTGCTGGACAGTTGCAGAAGTCATGGGGATCAACGGCAATTAGCCTTGACGGCAGTGTGACTGCCTCTGAAGGCCATCTGCTGGGAGACTAGTGGGCTTTCTTGTCCAGTTGGTTGGCCGGTGTGAGAACAGACTGCTGGACTAGATGGACCAGGGTTCCAATCCAGCAGGACGCTACATACTTTATGTTCTCCCCTGGATTTTGGACACCTAGATAAAATGCAACCAAACACAATGAGAAACACTTCTAAGGAAACATGCATAAAGAGGCAGTGCAATCCTAAGAATATTTGTTCATAAGGAAGTCTCACTGTATTCCCAGGTAAGCACATGCAAAATTGCTAGCTTGGTCACTATTTCTGGCACGGATTTCAAACAACAATTTGAATATAGTAAAATTCAAATAAATGATTAGAAAATATGTTATAACGTTGTTTAAAATTGTAAATAGATAAGCATTTACAGTTTAAAACAGGCTTCCCTGACATCTTATTTACACAACTGAAAATGATGTCACAACAGATTCAGGTTAGTTAGGAAATCCACCACTGTATGGGAATGCTTCCGAAAAGTGTTTCATTGCCCTAAAATAATGAATAAAATAATTAAATACATATTTCCTCTGAGTTTTCATAGAAGGTTATTTCCCCAAATTAGCAGTTACAGCTCCAAAACATCATTGTGCCAAAATGATTTCAAGAAATATGTTCAGCTAACCTTTGGGTTGGCACCTTATCCTGGCTATTCTCTGCCTTAAGATGTAGAAAGCTGCAAAACAAATGTCCATAAAAAGCAATTCAAGCTCCTTTTTTGAATTATTCCTGCAAGGAGGGTGGACTTGGCTGGGATTTTATCAACTTGCTACATTCCTGGAGACTTACACACACTCAACATTCAAAACTTTTTTTTTTCTGAAACAAAAAATAAACAAACTGGGACACATGTAAAAATAGAATACCTTATATGTCACTGACTTGCTATGAGAGCTTGCAATGAGATACATTCTGTATGAAAGTTAACGAAAAGAAATTGCGTCATGCTATTCTTCTTTGGCCCATTAAAGACTCCAAAGGCAGAGTGAAACAGGTTCTCTGCTCTCCCCACCCAGCACACCAGGGTAAAACATTCCATTCCAACATCCCAATACAAAGTGTTATTCAGAATAACTTTTTTTTTTAAAGAGACAGTATCCTTTTCTGTCCAGCCAGATCATCTATTTTTGGTCGAACTGATATCACTTACAACTTTGACAAAAACAGCGAAGACCCTTTTGGCATCTTAGAGATTTCATCAAGTGCATAAAAGTTCACAAGACAACAAACCGATCAGTCGCTAAGACGCCATAAAACCCTCGGTTGTTTCTGCTGTAGCAGATTAACACAGCTGTTCCTTTAGGGAATTTCATAGAACATGTTATCAATTGTGAACAAACTGATAACTGAAACTGTGGCATTGGGTTCACATATTTGTTTGATGTGGCTTGTGTGATGAGTGAACTCAACCATTGTGGTTTGTAAGCTATGATGCTTTAGTGTTGTGCCTGAATTAGGCTATTGTGGCTTATTCAACAAGTTATAATTAAAAAGCCAACATGTAGTAGTTAAGATACCTGTCTAGAATTGGGAAGGCCCACCGTCAACTCCATGCTCTGTGAGGAAACTCCCTAGGTGGCTTAAAATGGAGATGCCCCCGAAAGCCACTTTGAGCTCCTGGAGATAAATTGGGATAAAGATCAAAATAATGATAGCAGTAATGATAATAAAGCAATCCAAGGACAAGGGTGCATGCAACCCCAAGTAGATTAAAAGTTTGCAAAAACTAATTTGCTGCAGTTGTAGCATTATATGATTTTAGCGTTTCAAGCCATGAAGTCCCAAATTTATTATTGTATTTCTTCTGTAGCAATCTTCAGTTTGATTTCAGTTTCACTTGTTAAAAATAATATAATTCTAGACCTAGGGGGAAAAAAAAGAATAGGTCCTGGCCTAGACCTTGTCTAGGCAGAATAGCAAAGCATGGTCTGTTGTTATGTGAACCAGCCCTGAGGAAAAGGAGGTTGCTTGTTCTCCCTCCCTCTCATGAATGAAACAACCTTGCTTGCCCCAGTCGTTTATTAGCACGTCATGAAAGTAAGACAGAAAAGCAAAATCCGTAACAGACACAAATCTTGCCACAATGGATACTGTTTCCTTAAATATGCAGTACATATTCCCTTTGCGGTTTTGCTAAAGTGCATCGGGCTGTTTCAAAATATCATTAGGGAGGCAAAAAAGAATAGCAGAACGTCATTCTTTTCTGTGCAAACAATAATGCAGTCCTGTATTAGTTCAGCATATTTAAGATTCACAAACTGAAACTTAAAGAGTGAAAATAACAATCTCGAATTGTACTGCTCTTTTTTTTTTAATGGAAAAGTTCTATATTCTGGAATAGAACATGATCAAAGCCAAAACCTGATTCTCAGAATAAGATATCTTAAATTACTATACAGAATTGCATTAATGTTGAAAAACCTAATCCTTCCCCTCCCCACCAAAACAATGGTTTCCCCCTCCATGATATCTTTGGGCAACACTCAAAAACAAATTCCACAGTTAATAATAAACATGCATTAAAAGAAACATTAATAGAACGGGCAGAATTTAGCATGTATTTTTAGCCCCAAAGCATAAAAGAGAATCAGTATTGTCTCAAGCGTTGGTTTTTTTTTTTGCAGCTGTAGCGAGAGGGCAGAAGCATGCAAAGGTCTTCGTTGTAATGTCTCTTGGACCCTTTATAATTTTTGATGCAACTCTCTATAAAGTTTGTGTACATTTTAGTGAAGTGGTTAAGCGGAGTCAGTTCTTCGGTAGCATTTTCATGATCAAAGGGATTTTCATAAAGCTGGCTTAAAAAGTAATTTCCAAGAACAGAAGTGGAAGATGAACATTCCTTGAAGCTGAAAGAAAGCTTTCTGACTGTAGCAAACTAATGTAGTCCTACAATATATTGCCTTACAGTTCTGGGATGGCAATGAAGTCCTTATAATCTGATCACAGATAGTTTTCACTTATCAACCACAACAGGGACTGACAACTCCGTCACAAAGTGGCACAGTCATTAAATGCAATGTCACATGATCGCAACCTGCAACTTCCTGCCAGCTTCCCCATTGACTTTGCTTGTTGGAAGTTGGCTGTGAAGGTTGCAAATGGCAATCAAGTGACCATGGGATGCTGCGATTGTCGTAAACGTGTGCTGGTTGCCAAGCGCCCAAATCATGGTCACATGACCGTGGGGACGCTGCAATGGCTGCAACTTTGAGCACCAGTTGTAAGTCTCATTTTTCAGCAGTGTTATAAATTCAAATGGTCGCTGAACGAGTGGTCAGTAAGCAAGGACTACCTGTAATCCTTGTGGACCTTCAAACACATCACACATTCTTAGGATACTTGTTTCAGTGGGAAATATGCTTGAAAAGCCAGACAATGCTAGCTGTGCTTTTATTATAAAGTGTGTGTCATTAACCATGCAATCGTAGGCAGACTTGCTCAGAAGGAAGTCTCAACAGTTAGATTCACTCATCTTGTTAAGACTTGGTTTATTAAGCTATGATTTGTTGAATAAGCCACAATTTGCTGAGTATATACGTTAAAGTCATACACATATGTTATAAATCATAATAGTTGGATTCATGCAACACACCAAACCAAACCAAACCAAACAGCAAACAAACCATATTTGGGTTAGCACACTTGACTTATTTATAATTCACACTTCAGTAGTATACTACATGCTTGGACAAAAACAAATAAACCATCTTAAGGCTCGGAATGGTATATGACTGAGGCCACTTGGTTCACGTAACTTCGATAAGCGTTTAGCTGGAGATTTTAAAAAATGTAATCCAAATTTTATTCTACAGAAATGTCAACATTATAAATAAGTGGTTTTTAAAACAACAACAACTAAATTCTGACCATTCCCTGTGCATATTTGCTCTCCACAGATTGTTCTGGCCACCTCAGAGTTAGCATTAATTGGGGAGGAAATCAAACTAAAGGCAGGTCTGATTGGCTGAGATCAAATAGTCTGGAATGTATACTGGAAAGCAATTCAGGATTTTATAATAAAGTAAGCAAAGTGATGTCCTATGATCAGGACTCTTCTGTACAGACAGTGGGACCAAAGCCTATTTCTCTCTTTCTAAATGTTAGTAAATTCTTGCTTATCTAATAGAGTTGTACCTTTAAAAGTATCAACTCTGCAAAGTGAGTAATCCCTCACTGAGCATAAATGCCAAATCCTGCCAATCCAATTTATTTTTTATCATCCTGAGCTGGATTTGATGATTACGAGAACATCCTTCTCTAATATCCTTTCAATCCAACCAATGATCTTTGACCAAGTTAACAGATATCATAGAGATCTTTGCACATACCCATGGACATCCTCTCCACAAACTTGCTGCAAGAACAAACAATCAGCATGTAACTGAGTAACCCAGAAGGTAAGTTTTAAAAGTTTGAGAAACACAGTCCTAGCCACAAAAAAGACTTTTCCAGAGCCAACTTTTACAGCCAACTACAAGGAAGAAATGATAATCATCTTGAGTTAAATAGCCCCAAACATAACTTAGATATTGTTCCCAGTCCTTTGATCTTTTTGAAGTAATTTAAACAAAGCTATCTTATATTTTAAAATATCTGATTATGTATTTTTAAATTCCTAAACCTGAAGACTATCCCAAAGTTTTAAAAGGAAGCATTTTACACTTCTGCTATTGGTGTACTTTCAGAGCAAAGAGGGTTGCATGGAACATAGCTTGACTTTGTTTAAGATGGTATATATAAAAAGCAGCAATCAAGCTTAACAAGAATACAATAAGTCATACATCAAAAGCAAAGTGTCTGCTGTATGGACTACAGAATAAAGAATGGTGGAAGCCATTTACTTGGGTCAGTTTCAACCTATTTCATGGCAAATTGGGATTCTGTGAGAAAAAGTGGAGGGATGTCAAGTACATAAAATTGAAGCGTAAAGGAAATTAAACCCAGTACACATCATATTCAGGACACCTGTTTACTGTTAAGTAATCCATGTTCTCTACATTTCTCTAGCAATTCTTCTACTGATGTTAACTCTAACCTACCTTTGCATTTTTGATCTACAATCAGCAGAAACATAAAAACTCAGAATAGGTTAGAAAGGCATGAAGGGGTATAGCAAATGCTGTTGCTCTAATCCAGACATAGCTGTATTTCTGTTCCTTTTCTTCAATGCCTTTGATTTCTTCCGTTTACTATTCATTACTTCATATCTGTACTTTGCATAGTGTTGTCTATGCCCAAAGGGAATAGTGTGATACGTATGTATGTATGTATGTATGTATGTATGTATGTATGTATGTATCCTATTTCCTGGAAGAAAATGAAGCTAAATTAAATGTTTTTATTTATGGCCACTCAGTTAATAGTCATGCCTGATAATATTAACTTCAAGATGTGTAATCCAAACTGCCAGCCTCGCTATACTATGAAAAGATGGCTGTTTTGGGGGAGTGATTTTGGCTGGGTTGCTTCTGCCTTAAGGAACCAAGCTGGCCCCAGAATGGCATATTTGACCTAAATAAAACCTCTAACTATTTACCACATGGAAAACAACAACCAAAAAAAAATTTTTTTTTTGAAAAGTATCCAGAAATGCAAATTCCCAAGCGGTCAGCCTTCCCAGTCTTTTATAAAAGGCAAAATTCCAATTATATTTTTGAGGATATAGAATTTCATCTT